GTCGGTTTCTCCAATGATGAGACCTCTCACTGTCTAAAAAGTCACGACTGATTGCATGCAACAAGTGCTGCTGCGCAAGCACCAGGTCTTTCAAGACAGGGACTGAACTGGCTATCAGATTGTTTGGAGAGAGTCTCTTCTGCTCACATCAACAAGTAATATTGCAAGTGCACAATTGCTGCAAATGACTGTCATATGTATGATGTGGTGTTCCCAGACTGTGTCTTTGGGTATCATGGTCGAGCTAATCTGGGGACCAGGCGCAAAATGTTGCGTTTGTCGTCCTATTCAATAGTAAAACGGGCATCTGACGGGCTTCGCAGCTTCATACTCGTGCACAAAACTACATTGTGATTCTACAAGTGCAAGCATATAAGAATATCTGTATCTCGACGTAGCCGCCACGACAACTCCCAACAGAATCACCACGGCAGCAGCATCGTCACTACCACAACTACAATAATAATAATACATCATAAAACACACATGGGAAGGTAGAGATATGTAGAGATAGGTAGAGATATGTAGAGCAGTCCTCATTGGAGGCAGCTGCAGTGGCAATGTCCACTTTGACTCCACTGCCTCGGTATCGGTATCCAAATGTGCGTTGCTGACAACGTGCGCGTTGCAAGTTGTCTAAAGAATCGAGTATGGAACATGTTGGAACTACTTGAAATATTTCAGGGGTGCTGCACAGGGGCACTCGATACTTTCTCATGCAATGCCACTGAAACGCACAGTCCTTACATTGTCTCTTCAGGGCAGTTAAATCTGAGGAATCTGGCACGCAACCTCGTTTGGAAACCACGCACCCTCAAAGCCGGCCTGCATTTTGCTAGACGCGTCTGAAGAACGGCTGTTTTGCAAATACGAACTATACACCAGTGTCAATCGCATTCAACTAGCAACTTACGAATCCAAATATCAACACCTCACAGGATATGCCCTGGATTTGCATTGGCAGCATAGCACCCTACTGGTATTTTTGGAAGAATTGGAAGCGGATCGTTTTAGTGATGAAAAGAACAAAGCACCGCCAGTAGTTAAGTAATCCATGGCAAAGCCTGCTTGAATTTGCAGTAAGAGAGCAGTGCAAAACATGAAAAACCTTCTACCTGCCTTGTCAACGAATCCTCCATCCGCGTCTCCTGCGACACTGAAAAGTTGGCAGTGTGGCACATGCCTACTGGAAACGATACCCAGCTCTGAATGTGCCCTTCCTTGCTGAAGCAAAGCCGGACATCTGGGAACCTCGAAGCAACGCAATTTTGGCTCAGCCCTTGGGCCACTAAGAATGACATAAAAGCACAGCTGCAGAAACACAAGCATCAGAATCGACTCTTCACCGAGTTTTTGACCCTCACTTGCTCCTCTCCAACAGTGATCTTTTGCCGGCCTTCTTGCCTGGTGTAAAAAGTCATGAACAGTGAATACCATATATCAAATTAAAGAAACATATTGATACGATACATAAATAATATATAATAATATATGTATAAAATAGAAAAATCGACAACATATTATCAACATGTTGTTAATATATGTATGTACATAAAGTTATAAATATATATATATATAATATATACATGTATCAACAACATATTGAACATATTGTATCCTGCGTGAGTTTCAACGGCATCTTGCTGTCGAAGTGGGTCTAAGCTCAGAACACCACAGCAGCCACCTCGAAGAGGTGAGGCCTAGACCTTGCACGCCAGAAATACACTAAGGCTCAAATGGGATTGTAATATATTCATTTCAATTAATTCCACATATTATTATTATATATATATATTAGATTATTAGATTATTAGATATTATATAATATATAATATATTTTTATATTATATGTTAACGATAAAGTAGATGAAAATCGTTGGCAAGTCACTGCAGATTTTTGCAGTCAAGTACCCCCTGATCTGCTGGAGGGTCTGACTAACAAACCACCTCTGGGTTGATGGTCCTGCAAACTTGGGGGAAGTGAAGTGGGTCATTTTTCTTCTGCCCACATGTCACAACTCTTCTATACCTTGCGAGAATGGTCGTCTCGTGTCCTTGACATGTGAGATTTTGGAGAATTCATTGCAAGTTTCAGCACTGAGCAGGTCAGAACTGCTTGGCTGCCGGCTTCTTCTTCACATGTTGAGTGCTGATGAAATTCTCCAACCTTGGACGATATTCCGAGGCACAGGAATGGCACAGGATGCGAAAAACGCGCTGGAAGTGAAGCCATAGATTCAAACCAATGAAAGTACTGACGCAACTCCTTCCACATCTGCACGCGCATTCCCAAGGCTTTCACGTACACCATGTTCTTCGGAAAGGCTCCGCATCTTCATCTCAGCTGCATGTTCGATTGGCAAATGTATCAGATATGGTGACTTCAGAGCTGAAGACTGAACCCAAGCCCTTCTCTGGACTTATATATCTATGGTATAGTATTCTATAGTAGTGTATTGCACGATATTGGAATTCGCGGATGGTAAGTTCATATCTATGGCAAAACTAGAGGTTCATTGTAACATATTGTAACATATTGTAACATATTGTAACATATTGTAACATATTGTAACATATTGTAACATATTGTAACTATGTGTCTTGCGACTTGGAAACACGGCAAAACTTGATACGTTCGACAATGAGGTGGCGACTCATCAGCATCACAGTGCCCATGCAGCTGGAGCTCATGATGGCGCGGACGAAGGGAGTGTCCAACAGGTCCGAGGTGTTGAGCTCCTAGCGTCCCGAGCTCCGGTGCCACAGGGCACTTGAAACATGAGCAGCATGGGCGAAAGTGAAGTGATGCGGAACATGCTCAAATTGATGCAAACATGAGCTCAAACATGCTCAAACATGCTCAAACTGTTTAATGTCCTCCAAATTGTGCTGGTTGTTTGCGAAGGTGCAAATCCAGTAGGGACTGGCTTCTGAAAGCCCATGAACCTCTGCAGGAGAAAGTATACGAGTGCCAAAGGATGGCTTGTTTGAACTGGCTGACAGAATAAGAGACACATCACTTGCGTGAAACTGAAAACGTGTCTGGTATACGAGTGTGAGAAATTTGGAAGACGCAAATATACCAAGTCCCAAAGCCTCATCTAATTTGACAACGGGTACATACGGGTACTTTATTACATGATGGTTACATGATGTTACATGATGAGCACACGAGCACTCTGGATCACCGAGTTGCTTGAGAGTGAAAGCTCAACATTGTAAGGCCTTAAAGATGGTTCTTGGGATTCACATGGATTCAGCAGATATGGGTGGCTTGCTGCTCAGATCAAGTAAATCAGGATAAATCAGGAGAGGCTGACAAGTGATGAACCCGGTATCTTGACCAAATTCCAATCTCACACTGTACTATCTGTACTCAAGTCTGTACTTTGCAAATGAACTCAGCCATTGAATTGCGCTTGCAGGAATAGAAGCAGCGACTGGACAAACCATTTTCAGAATGGATACAATCGGATACAAATGATAAACTGAATAAATCACGCAATGAAGAGTGCACAAGCCAAGATGTCGGCTGTCACGCCATGGAGTGCCCCACCAGTGAGAGACAAACCAAACAGGGTCCTGGCAAAAAATCTTCAAGCGGTCCCAATTGCTGAAAATGTTTGAGGCTTCACTCATAAAATTGTGTTGGTGTTCTTGCTTGCAGCCGATGAAGAGCAATCATGTCAAACGTGGAACGATATATTTATAATGGAATTCCAATCCAATAGAAGTCAAATCCAGACCTCTACACACCACAGTTTTGCTCCCTGCCGTTGCCGTCTGGGCAATTTCAGCTTTATCTTGCTTCTGGGTGGCTGTGTCAACCCCTCAACAATGTGTCCGTTCTGCTGCCTGTGGCGCATCCATTACCAACTCGACAAAGCTGCAAACCTGCTACAAGATTACCGCGTCGCGTTGGAAGTGTTGAAAGTTGAAGGATGTTGAGAGTCAGAAAAAATAAGGAAAACATAGGAAAACAATGGCAAACACATAGCAGAAAGCTGGTACAAAAACAGTTTGCACAGCAAGTCGAGTATTGTATGAGTCCGTAAATTTGAATGGGATATGCGCAGGGGTGTTCTTCATTGTTCTTCCAGGAATCCAGAATCATGGCAATAGGCTCTTCCATGCAGAACTTCCCAGATCATTGGGAAAATAGCCACACTTTGGAACGAACACTGTTTGAATTTAAATCTGATCAAACCCGATTCTCTTGGCATGAAAAACAATTCCGTACATGTGTTCCTGAGCAGCACCAGCACCTCTTTCGCAGTCAGGCGAAGAACAAAGAGCTCATTCAGATGGTAGAGGTTGCAATCTTGGGTGAAGGGGTCCAGTCCAAGTCTCACTATTGGCACAGTGCTCAACAACACATCTGAAGTCTCCAAATATATTCAGGTCACTCGCTCAGCATCGCTAGGGTTCCAGACTGTCATGAGTAATGATCCCCAAATCTGTGGAAGGATTTGGGTCTTCCACCTTCAAAATGTTGTTCCATGAATCGTCTGTTCCGTTTCGTCCCCAACATCTCCTGATTCTGAGATCAAAAGCAATGTATCAGCATGGCACTCAGTAGTTGTATGGCCATGTCATGCTTTATCAACGTTGCTTTGGCCAAGTGACAGGCATAAGCTGAAATGATTGACATGTTTCCGCAATGTGACCGGAGTAACTGAATAAAATGAATCATACTAAATCATACTAAATCACACTAATATAATGAATAATGTAAATATAATGTATCATATAATCTAGTAACACGCTTCCAGAAACGACAGGTCAGTAGAAGCAAAGGACTACAACTACACCTGGTCACCTGCAGCATCCAAGCGGCACCTTGATGGACTCCAGAACCTGCTGCACCAATTCTGAAAGAGCCTCACACACGGAACCATGCCGCAAAAAAGAAAACCGAATGTCAACCGGAAAAGATCGGAAAAGACTGAAGTGGGATCTTCACTTTGCGTCGCAGAGTCGCAAACGAAACTTTCATTTTTGCAAGGCGCATTCCATAATTCTTGGCGAGAGCAGTCCTGCAAGCTATGAACAATCTATGGCATCAAGGTTGAAATCCAGCGGACGTATGGCCTAGGGCCTAGGGAGCACCGGGAGCACCGTGCCTTGTAAAATATGGACGAAGGCTTGATGACTTCGGATGACTTCGGATGACTTCGGATGACTCCGGCACTCCCCTGGAAAGCCTTGGAGAATAAGATGAATAAGCAAATCTAAACTGCACATAGACTGCTTCGTGGATTGTGTCCGCAACTGCCTCATGAGTAGAGCCGATCAGTCATGTCAAATGTCTCACGCGAGGCCACACTCTTGGACCAGTTTGGAGAGCGCTGCATCTCTACTGGACGTGTCCTGTTTGAATGCGCCTCTCCATGCTGTACAACGATCTAGCATAGCCTTTCCGAAGCTCCTGTGCTCTTGTCCCTTTTCCACTTGATCCTCCCAATGTTCACGCATGGCGCGCGCCGCCTTGTGATAACCTTCCGGGATCTCATTTCTCTGCAGCCTTGTCCGAGCCTTCAATTCACCAAAAACCCGTTCTGCGTCTTTACAGCTGCGGAACAAGAAACGCAGGGCATCCGCCAAAACTGCCTCATCTTCAAAGTCTTTGGCCTTGGTTCGAGCACTGAAATGACCGGCACGGAAATCCTCCCCTCTGCCACCATCAGTGGCTCCTTTGGTGTCTTGAAGCCGCATACTGCGGTAGTCCTTTCCAAAGTCCACCATGCTGCAAAGACCTTTCAACTCAGCTTGGCGTTCCAAGAGAGCTTCCAGCTGCTCACGTTCAGCCTCAGCTCCAACCAGGACGCTGGTTGGTACGACTTCGGTACGTTCCACCATCATTCCTTCACCAAAAGCACCTGCCACGGTGTCTCGATCCTGACGTCGTAGAAATCGAGTTTCCCATCGCTCCTTCTGGGCAATATCTGCTTGCAACGCCTGGATCTCTTGCTCGATCTTGTCCAAGGCAAGTGTAATTGATGCTGCCTGGTCAGCTTCTCGCCGTTTCTGCACTTGAGCACAGGTCTCAGCAAAGCGCAAGGTTTGTAAAGACTCCTCTGCGTGTGATGGATCCATGGTCACAGTGGTGATGATCAAAGTTCGAGCCGAACCTCCCAAAGCTTCTTGCAAAAGCATCGTCAGCTTCGAATCTTGGTATGGCACATATGGCAAGGCATGGGTAGGTACACCTTCTTGGGCCATCCGACACCTTTGATGCAAAGCCTCAATGACACGCTTCAGCGAGAAGAGACCCTTGTTGATGTTTAGGGTCTCATAAACCCTCTGCCGATGGAGATTGTACTCCTGCGACCCACAAACTCATCGCTCGATGATCAAAAGCAATCAAACAACAAAAAAACAAGAGAGGTGTCAAAAATAGAACCCAAACATTATGTCAAAATATATCCAATCATGTCAAAATATGTCAAAATACCCCAAACCATCTGAGCTCCTGCCAGGTCAAACGGCTTTGTTCTTCACCTCCAACAACCTGAATAAATTGCTCAAGAGAGCGCAAAATAACTTTGTTTGTCATTGTTTGTCATGGTTCATGACCTTCCCACAGCTCAGCTATCACTTCACAAACGCTGACCCTCACAGCAAGATAGTGTCCAGCTTGGGAAGAAGTAAGAGAAGTAAAAGAGGCAAGCACAAATAGCATAAGGTTTTAATTTTTAATAGTATTTTAGACTCAAAGCAAGTGATGCACGCTAATGCTATGCTTTCACCGAGGCACCAGTACTGGAGCTTTCGTTGCAGCATCCACTTTGCTCTTCGAAAGCTGTTCAGAACCGCCAAGATCTGCAAAATAAAAACGACTTTGCCGAATTGTTGCATCGGCGGAATCCATGTCCTTCCTCACCTGCGTGAATCACCAGAAGTGTGGGCTGTGTCATGTGCTTAAAGGCATTCTGACTTGAAACAGAAGATTGCATTCTTTTGTACGGGTTCTCATGGAAAATGCCTTTTCGATGAATGCCACATTCACCAGCAAATAAGGGACCCTCCTCTCATTCCAACACACGGCCTCAGCTAGACCATGCCCATGCCTCAAACCGCCCTCTTCGGGCCTGCAAGGACAGAACAAAGACCGTGTGTGCACGTGTGGAGCGCTCATTCATGGCAGTGGCAGCACGGCGCTTCGCAGCATCGCCGTGCTCCAGCAGCTCTTGCAACTCCTGAATTGTGGTGTGATATGGATGGAGTCATGGAGTGTCAGTCTTGGTACAAATCTAATAAGTTCAGTCGGCAACAGCAGGATGTTACTGTATCATACTGTATCTCCTGTTGCGTGTTGTGGTCCCATGTGATGAGCACATACAAACATGGCTTCCATTCAGCAAGCAGCTACAGAAAACGTTGTCGTTGTTGTTGTTGTCGTTGTTGTTGTTGTTGTTGTTCTTGTTCTTGTTCTTGTTCTTGTTCCTGGCAGACTATGAGAAACACAAAGGCAGCGTACCTCATCAGTTGGGGTTTGCACTAGTGCAATTCATGTTAAGAAAATTCCAGTGCTGAAACTTCCAAAGACCCGACTCATCAGGACTTGACCCGTCCTCCAGTGACTGAATGTGCCACTCAGTGTGCCTGAGGTTAGGGCAGTAACGTCTACAGTAGCAAAAAGGAAGCAGGAAGCCTCTGTGATGTTTCGCAGGATGAGAATTCATGCAAACATAAACCTGCTGGAAGAGGCATTGCTTCTTTGAAAAATAGATCAATTCGCACTCAGGAGCGCGATTGCGAACCTTCATCCACCGATCTGAGACCACACCGATACTAAGAAGCGGTTCATACAGTTGATACATAATATAATCACACTCTACTATATATATATATATAATTATTATAGATTTTTATACAATACAGATTATAGAACGTTTCCTCAAGTTTCCTCTTCCAACCCACTGCAAAAAGGCCCAGCTGCCCGTCCAAGACATAGCGATGGCCGACTCGATCGGTCGCACGCACTGCAGAGTAGCGCCCTTCACGATGTTGGCCCACCACTCGGCCCTCCCGAAGAAGATCAGAAACCTGCCAATGCACAATGCACCGATAAACCAACAAAGGAGAGAACTCCACAGCCCCCATCCAAAGCTCAGGGCAAATGAATGCAAATGGATACTTTCATTGCAGATGCCACAAGTGCATACAAGTGCACACGAGTGCACGTTAGCCGTTAGCTGTTGGCTCGTGGCTTAAAAGCAACCCTGGGACCTCTCTGGACCCACCCTACACATCCCTACACTAGCACCAAAGAAGAAAGCGCAAAGGGTCCGAACACATCAGAACATTCTAAAAGCGAGTAAAAGTGTTTCCTTTCAAAGAACTCCCTGTCAGAAGTTCATTTTTGTGATTGACATGGGTTAGAACAGCGAGACGGTTGGCGCGAAGACCCTCAGTGCCTCACTTCCGAAAAGTTCCACATAGCTGGCACTCAGCCGAACTTCAAGCCCGCGTGAGCGCCAGTGGTCAACTGCCTGCAAGACCTCTGCACAGGTCCTGCATTGGAAAATTATGGATGTACGAAGATTTATGATTTGTGGAAGAAATATGAAGAAATTGTATAAATGTTTGTGTCCTTGGACTCGTTGCTGTTTTTAGTTGTCGTGTTGCACAGGAAGGATGAGTGAACTCGAAGCATGTAGAGTTGTTTTGCAGACTTCCAAGTCAACTTAAGTCAACTGAGGACATGCTAGCAGCATCTGGCAGCTGCAACGTCTGTCCTTGGAACAAGACCTTGCATTTGGTGGTCGGCGACTGTCAGTTGGCCAGTGGTTGGAGGTCCAAACATAGTGTGCGTTTTGCCACTGGCTGTCTGACCGTAGCCTGAGCATCGTGCTGTTGCTTCCTATGAAAAGCATGGTCCACATGTATCTACATGCCATGAAGATCCATGAAGCCATTTCAGAGGTCCAAGGAAATGTGTCACTGCATGTCACTGCCCTAGTTATCCTAGTTAGTTTTTTTGCATTGGCCATTTGGCAGGAGAGACCATCATTCCTTGAACGTAGACTGTCGAAACTGCAGAGCAGAATGGATTTCTCTTACTCAAATCCCAGAGCTGCAAAATGTGAATTGGATTTTTGGAACTTGGGATCAAGCAACAAATGATGCTGGCACTGGTTCCATTCAAGAACTCCATCACCAGGCGCCGCGCCGCTGCTTCGTAGACTTGTGGCTGACTGCTGCGCTCCCCAAAGACGCGGTCAAAGGCAAAGTCGTGAAGGCCGCTGTTCTTCGTCACTGCGAGAACCTCGGGATATCTCGGGCGACGGCTGTCAGTCTGCTACGAGTGACCTACTGGATGGAGTCTAGAGAGGCCAAGGGTCTGGACTTCGTGACTTCGAGTTCAGACTGAAGAAAGTCCAAAGGCCAACAGTTTGCTTTTAAGATGTCAGCCTTCATATCCGAACTTTGCTGAGCAACTGATGCCTTCTCTTCCTGGACTGAGAGAATGGAACAACGTACGTCAATGGCGACGTCGTCCATCTCCTGAGCAAATCTAGTCTAGGCATGCAAAGTCAGTGTATATCCGCCTACCACGGCTAATGCAAAGGGGAGCGCGTCAAGGATTACAGGTTTCTGTTTCTGTTTCAACAACAACAACAACAACTACTACTACTACTACTACTACATCTACTACATCTACTGTAACTATACTGCTACTACTAACTATACTATACTACTCCTTAGTCTTAGGGTTTGAGAGGGTTTCAAGAACATCGGAAAGAGCATGCAAAAGGTGCGATATTACTACTAGTACTACTGGTAGTACCAGCATTAGTACTAATACTAGTACTAATATACTATTTATACTGATACTACTCCTTAGGGTTTCAGAAGCAACGTGGCAGGAAATGCGGAAAAAGCAGAGAAACATCATTTTCTAAGGTTTCAGAAGCAACGTTAGGCACTCTTCCCGTTTACAAGCCTTTCTAGAAGGTGGCAAGAAGTGCGGAAAAAGCAGAGAAACCTCATTTTCTAAGGCTTCAGCAGCAACGTTAGGCACTTTTCCCGTTTATGCTATCTGGCTGAATTGCCGTAAAGCCGAAGCTCAACATTCTTCTCGATGGGCTCGATGAGGGCATTGTTGGACTCCAGGTTTTCTTTGTTGGCATATCCAGGTGACAGACATGGTTGGAAGATTGAGTCACCCGCACTCTCCAAGGTGTCCTTTCCGGTCTTCAAGCGTTGCTGTTTCCTCATTATGAGGCTCACTGCCTCCTTCGACGTACAGCCAAGTTGTTTTCGGACGAGCTGAACCTTCTGATGTAGTGGCAAAACCACCCCATCCTCATCATTCACCAGGTTGCTGATGTTCATGGAGGGACGAAATCGTGCAGCAACCCCAATCTTGAAGTCCTTCAGTCTCGTGTTCAATGGTGCGTGTGCGTTACTGCTGCATCACTGCATCACTTTGTGGCACTCTGAAATTCAAAGTTTCATGATGTTGATATGTTCCTGAGAGCAACAACAAATGACTACTTGTGTACTGAAAGCAGCAAGGGTCAGTGTGAACTGGAGCCTAAAAAACCTTGGCCTTGGCGGAACTAGCGAAGTTTCATTCACTGCACACAGCAGTCCTCACGGTTCTCACCATTTGCTCTTTTGGAAGCCTCCTGGAATTGGAGGAAAAGCAGATGTGGGCCATGCATGGCCATGCCATGTTGCCTCTTCCAAAAGAAATCCGTTTGAGAGTCCTGCCCCATCCTCCTTAGAGCATGTCAAACTGTTGTAGAGGGGCTTGACACAAGAGTAAATACTCGTGGCAACCTCTTGGGGATTGTATAAAAATGCGAGGTGTGCATTGAGAGAATGTGATAATGTGATACAGTACCAGATGATACGAGATGATACGAGATGATACGAGTATAGAATGTGTGCATCTGATGCGCTCCCACAAGGCCTTGATGGCATAGAGCTCCAAAAATAGCTCTCGCCAGTCTCTCGCTACAGGGCACTTCTTGACAGGGTCCGTACCATCACGAGGAAAGTAGATGTCATGTTCTTCAGCAAGTCGCTCGCAAAGGAAATGCCAGTAGCCTCAGAACAGGCGTCCAAACCTGTCCAGACTACTGTATCTGGTCTGCTGTCGAACTCTTAAATTCACCCCAAAGCTTCTTTTCTGTAATGCTTGCAATTTTGACTTGGTCACTGTAAATTTCCCAAGCCTCTAGATATCTTAGGATTTAGGATATCTCCAGATCAAGGTGTTAAAACCCAAAAACCAAGTGGCCTTGTCCATCCTCCAGTTGCAGTGAGGATCGCAGCGCTGGGCTCAGCTGGGTACAAATACCCCGGTGTGGCCAATCGCAAAAGGACAAAATGTTCAAAGGATGTAAATCGGAAGAGTGTCCTTGCCCCATGGCCTCAACAATGCGAAGATCTGCGAAGTGCGGACTGCTGCCACACTTCCAAGAGGATGAATGTGAGTCATGTCATGTCAAAGGATTTCTGCTTGTAAGATTTTGTAAGATTTGTAAGATGCCAATAGCATTTGAGTTTCCGATCCAACCTGTTCAACACTTCTGTCAAGCGTGCGGTTCTCCCTTGGTCTGAACTTGTTTGTCCATTTGATTGGTGGCCAGCCCGCGCTGGGAAGATCCCAATGGGGCATGAGCAAAGATCCAAAGTGGGAGATGCAGAGCAGACTGCATAGCATTAAAGATCATTAAAGGACAATACGGTGCACTGCCATGCACCGCATCCTCCTTCATCTGGGACAATCGGTCATTCTTGGAGAGACTCAAAATACTCTAAGATCTCGGTCCTGAAGTATGTGTGTCCATGTGTCCAATGATTCCAATGCAGGTTGTGATATACATACAGGCGACTTATATACATGGGATCACGCAATGCACTGAGAATGATAAGATGATAAGAGTTATTTTGCTTGTCCTGATCCTGAATCATGTGTTTGGCAAACCTGTGAATTGATGGAGGGAATTGGAGGGATATGTTCAAATCCTTTGAATCCAACCAATTCCATTGGAGCCACTTATAGCAAGCTGCATGCCCTTCAGCCGCCTTGAGCTGCTGCAAGGTGATGCCACGACGATGAGTTTCAGCCTGGGAGCAAGATTCTCCAGCTCAAAGAATGAAAAAAAGGATGTACAGATCTGTACAGTATGATGTTTGTCGTACGTTTGTGAGGTCGATTCAGAAAGGTCCTGGTGTAGGCAAGTTTCAACCGCAAAGTCTTGGGGGATGCTGCATTGACAGAACCAGTCATATCCAATGAAGCATAATCCGCCGACCCCTGCCGTCAGCAGGGGGAGCGCGTCAGAGGAGGCCTTACTATAACAAGATGCCAGAAGGGGCTAAGAGTTTGAGCAGAACGAAAGCCGGCTCCAGGAGGACACGAGCAGGGTGGCAGTTGGCAGTGTAGAAGCGCAGGAAAAGTCAAGGTTTGGAGCTAGTTTCTAGTCGGTTCAGAAAGTGACGTTTGGCAGTCTGGGATAGGGGCCGCGGGCCCAATCCGTCCTTCACGGCCATGGTGTTTTAGCCCTGCGACACGGTCCTTGGACTCCAGCTCGGACCGAAGCGGTGCAGAACGAAAGCCGGCCCCAGGAGGACACGAGCAGGGTAGCAGTTGGCAATGCAGAAACGCAGGAAAAGTCAAGGTTTGGAGCTGCAGTTCAGAAAGAAACGTTAGGCACTCACAGCCGTGGCCCGCACGCCCGATCCGTCCTTCACTGCCATGGTGTTTGAGGCCTGCGACAGGGTCCTTGGACGTTTGGCAGTATGGGCTGCCGGCCGCGGGCCCGATCCGTCCTTCACTGCCATGGTGTTTGAGGCCTGCGACAGGGTCCTTGGACTCGAGCTGACGGCAGGAAACAGCAAGGTTTGAAGCTAGTTTCGAGGCAGTTCAGAAAGCAACGTTAGGCACTCACGGCCGTGGCCCGCAGGCCCGATCCGTCCTTCACTGCCATGGTGTTTGAGGCCTGCGACAGGGGCCTTGGACTCGAGCTGACGGCAGGAAACAGCAAGGGTTGAAGCTAGTTTCTAGGCAGTTCAGAAAGCAACGTTAGGCACTCACGGCCGTGGCCCGCAGGCCCGATCCGTCCTTCACTGCCATGGTGTTTTGAAGCCTGCGACAGGGTCCTTGGACTCGAGCTGACGGCAGGAAACAGCAAGGTTTGAAGCTAGTTTCTAGGCAGTTCAGAAAGCAACGTTAGGCACTCACGGCCGTGGCCCGCAAGCCGATCCGTCCTTCACTGCCATGGTGTTTGAGGCCTGCGACAGGTCCTTGGACTCGAGCTGACGGCAGGAAACAGCAAAGTTTGAAGCTAGTTTCTAGGCAGTTCAGAAAGCAACGTTAGGCACTCACGGTCGTGGCCCGCAGGCCCGATCCGTCCTTCACTGCCATGGTGTTTGAGGCCTGCGACAGGGTCCTTGGACTCGAGCTGACGGCAGGAAACAGCAAAGTTTTTTGAAGCTAGTTTCTAGGCAGTTCAGAAAGCAACGTTAGGCACTCACGGCCGTGGCCCGCAGGCACGATACGTCCTTCACTGCCATGGTGTTTGAGGCCTGCGACAGGGTCCTTGGACTCGAGCTGACGGCAGGAAAGGAAAACAAGACAAAGTTTGAAGCTAGTTTCTAGGCAGGTCCGCAAGAAACGTTAGGCACTCACGCCGTGGCCCGCAGGCCGATCCGCCTCACTGCCATGGTGTTTGAGGCCTGCGACAGGGCTTGGACTCGGAGTGACAGGCAGGAAACAGGCAAGGTGGAGCTAGTTTCTAGGGCATTCAGAAGAAGCAACGTAGGACTCACGGCCGTGTGGCCCGCAGCCCGATCGTCTTCACTGCCCTGGTTGGTTGAGGCTGCGACGGGTCCGTTGGACTCGAGTGACGGCAGGAGGGACCAGCAAGGTTTGAAAGCTAGTTTCTAGGCAGTTCATGACACGCAACGTTGAGGGCACTCACCGGCCGGGACCGAAGCACGATCCGGCATGGAGGCCTGCGAAGGGTCCTTGGACCCGAGCTGACGGCGGGAAAACAGCAAGGTTGAAGCTAGTTTCTAGGCAGTTCAGAGAAAGTTAGGCAACTCACGGCCGTGGCCCGCAGGCCCGATCCGTCCTTCACTGCCATGGTTTGATGGCTGCCGACAGGGTCTTGGACTTGTTGGATCGAGCTGGACGGCAGTGCGCAACAGCCACGGTTTGAAGCTAGTTCTCGGCAGTTCAGAAAAGCAAGTTAGGCATCCCGGCCGTGGACAGCAGGCCCTATCCGTCCTTCACTTGCCATGGTTTTTGTTTGAGGCCCTGAGGACAGGGTCCTGGACTCGAGCTGCCGGCCGGAAACAGCAAGGTTTGAAGATAGTTTTATAGGCAGTTCAGAAAGCAACGTTAGGCACTCACGGACGTGGCCCGCAGGCCCGATCCGTCCTTCACTGCCATGGTGTTTGAGGCCTGCGACAGGGTCCTTGGACTCGAGCTGACGGCAGGAAACAGCAAGGGTTGAAGCTAGTTTCTAGGCAGTTCAGAAAGCAACGTTAGGCACTCACGGCCGTGGCCCGCAGGCCCGATCCGTCCTTCACTGCCATGGTGTTTGAGGCCTGCGACAGGGTCCTTGGACTCGAGCTGACGGCAGGAAACAGCAAAGTTTGAAGCTAGTTTCTAGGCAGTTCAGAAAGCAACGTTAGGCACTCACGGTCGTGGCCCGCAGGCCCGATCCGTCCTTCACTGCCATGGTGTTTGAGGCCTGCGACAGGGTCCTTGGACTCGATCTGACGGCAGGAAACAGCAAGGTTTGAAGCTAGTTTCTAGGCAGTTCAGAAAGCAACGTTAGGCACTCACGGCCGTGGCCCGCAGGCCCGATCCGTCCTTCACTGCCATGGTGTTTGAGGCCTGCGACAGGGTCCTTGGACTCGAGCTGACGGCAGGAAACAGCAAAGTTTGAAGCTAGTTGCTAGGCGAAGTAGAACAGCAACGTTAGGCACTCAAGGTCCGGGCCCGCAGGCACGATCCGTCCTTCACTGCATGGTGTTTGAGGCCTGCGACGGTCCTTGGACTGGACTCGAGCTGACGGCAGGAAACAGCAAGGTTTGAAGCTAGTTTCTAGGCAGTTCAGAAAGCAACGTTAGGCACTCACGGCCGTGGCCCGCAGGCCCGATCCGTCCTTCACTGCCATGGTGTTTGAGGCCTGCGACAGGGTCCTTGGACTCGAGCTGACGGCAGGAAACAGCAAGGTTTGAAGCTAGTTTCTAGGCAGTTCAAAAAGCAACGTTAGGCACTCACGGCCGTGGCCCGCAGGCCCGATCCGTCCTTCACTGCCATGGTGTTTGAGGCCTGCGACAGGGTCCTTCGACTCGAGCTGACGGCA